GCTCGGGTCCAGCGGTACACCAGGACAAAGAGGAATGCCGGAGGCTTCTGGTCTGTTATGGAAGAGGACACCTACAGTGGGTCAGACCAGGAGAGTGTGTGGGACTCCAGGTGGCTCAGAGGTCAATGAGACGCGCAGGCCCCAGACCCAGTGGCCACCGTGAGGCCTTCGTCTGGAATGGAGAAAGAGGGACTTGTGCCCACACCACAGGGCACCAGCTCCCACTGAGCCTTCAGCCCAGCTCCTCACCTCCTCTGAGGGAAAGGGCCCTGTTCAAGGTGCCTTCCCAGTGGTCCATGGTGACCCACAGCCTGGTCCGTGGGAGACGCTTCATAAACACACGCGAGGACTTAGAAAGTTAATGGGAAAAAAATGAAACGAAAGTATGAGTTTAATTTGGTGGAAAAAAAAAACCCACTTTTTTTTTTTTTTGAGAGATTTTCGCTATAGGGTGCGTGCGCTTGCCAGACAGAGACAGAGAGACAGAAAGCGAGAAATCACCCCCCAGGGGGGATAGTCACACCGCAATCCCTTCTCCTCCATTCTCCCCTCGAGATCTTGGGCACGCACGCACACGCGCCCAGCGTGAGTTTTAAACCACCGGGTCCGGGACGCAAACCACAGTCGACTACGTGGGAGTCCAGCGACATAGCCATTATGCTAACTGCTGGTTCCCAAAACCCCCACATTTTTGAAATCCACACATGGTTCTTCCATCATTTGTGCTCCTGTCCACGCCTGAAGGCCCCTCTCCTCGGATGCTGGTCCTTGCCCTCTATTCCCAGCTCTGCTCTCAGCCCCAGAAACTGCCAAGGAGGAAGACGTCACTTAGGGAAAGTAAGACCCGGCACTCATACCCGTTAAGAACTCTTCGGCTGACTGTTCGATGAAACAGCTCATTACGTCAGCACTTTCCAAGCCCAGGCCAGTGAACTGTCACCTCCTGGGGACCACCTGGTACTGCCGCCGACATCCCACCTACCCACTGTGCGCTCTCATCTCAGCCGTATGCACTGCACCGACCACTCTCAGCAGCTCTGGCCCAGCTCCCAAGCAATGCCTAGCCCCTGACCTGGCCGACCCCTCACCACCTGCCCTGCAGCCTGACACGAGGATGCTCCCTCACCGGATGCTTCCTGTCTTCGGAGTCACTGTAACCCTCTTCATCCACCCCCTTTCATCAGTGTCCTTCCCATGGGACAGGCGGCCCCTGTCTGAGACACACAGTCCCCTTCCACCTGACGCCGTGGAGCTGTAAAACCACATTCACAGGGGGTGGGGGCAGGGCCCAGAAATAGAACACGTGTGTCCTTCTTAGCGCACGGCTTCTGTAAACGACCACAGATGGCCACGGCCACAGGCCATGCCGCTTGTGTGAGAAATCACTGAATATTCTGAAAATAATGTTAAAATTAAATACGTGTTGTGGCTCTTCTATAATTTTTTTCTTTTTTAAAGTTTATCCATGTCCCCCATGAGTGAGAGAGAGAGAGAGTGAGTGAGGCCACAAAGCACAAAGCAGTCCCTATATGGTCTTGATCCACCCGGCCTCAGCCAGCCTAGGTCGTGGGCACGTGCCCGTCAATGTACTCGGGAAGTCTGCAGACCTGAACCAACAACCTTCTCACATGGGGTCTGCTGGCAGAGTGTCACTGAAACCACTGCACCTGGTCCAGCCCCTTTAGAATGTAACCACCTGGTGAGGTGGGAAGTAACCTGCAGAACCACTGGCTGGTGCCCAATCTCGAAGGTGGAAACACCATCTCTGCAGAGTCCACGGCCTCCTCCAGCCTCTCAAAGGTTGTGACACCCCTAAATGTCCCACGTGTCACCGCCACGGTCATGTCCAGGGACTGCTGGCAAGCACAGGGAGGCGGGTGCCTCGTGGAGGACAGCCTGGCTCTGCAGTCCCGGTGTCTGGCGGGTCCACCCTTCGGTGTCTGCGCTGCGGCCAGTCCTGGGAAGGGGTTAGCCAGAGATGCCCTGTGGAGAGCTGTGGGGCAAGTCCTGGCCTCACACACAGGACAGGTGGGCAGCCTTCATCCTCAGTCTCTCACTGGGTCCTAATCTATGGAGAGCTAGTGGTGGGAGGTCTCAGGAACTTCCCCCACCTGCCGGTTCCTGAATTTGGAGAAAAAAATGACTCCCGTGGTCCTGGACAGGGGGTGGGGCAGGGTGGGGTACCGACAGGCCCCTCCTTCACCCCTAATAATGCCCTTGCTCACTCAGGGCCTGTTGTGTTTTTCACTGTGACTTCCCAATAGCGGCCCTCATGGCCGACCTGCAATGACACCTCACAATTACTGGCCGAGCCACTGCATCTGTGGGGTTTCGAAGGGCTGCGTCTCTATCTCTGGGCTTCTGCGCCCTAACACTGTGAATTACGGCTTTGCCACATGGATTCCTGTAAGGTACCGTAGCACCACAATTCATGTATTTTATGCAAATCTACCCCAACAGAATGCCAGGAAGGGCAGGGAAGGACCACTTCATGGAAGGTATGTGACCGTTTCCATTGGGAGATCTGCTGAATAGGCTCACACTTTTTCAGATCTGTGTGACTCCAACGCACACAGAAAAGCTCCCTCTAATCAGGGTTTCTCAGATTAGTTACAGATACACGACGTGCAACATTTACCAGATGGATTACAGCAAAGAAAACCCCAGCGGAGGTTTATAAACCTCAGGAAAACCTGAGACAAAGATTAAGGGAAGATCTTAAGAACAGCCGGCAAGAAAAGACAGTTTGCTCTTCAACAAATGCCACCACGCCCAGGTCGGAGCCTCAACCCACGTCCAGCCATGCCTTCTTAACCACCAGGCCACCTGCCAGCCCCTGGCAGACTTCTTAAGAATAACAATAAAGCCATAAGACAGGGAAACAGTATCTTTAAGAGAGAGTGCCAGTCTACAATTGAGATCCAGGAACACTTCCAAGAACCAGTGGAGTACAGATACTCTCATGTAAAAACTTGGGAAGAGTTTATTGCCATTCTCACTATAGGAACTGCTGAAAGATGCATTTCAGAAAAATCCTTGCGAGAAGACTGGAGAGAGAAGGGTTGGTGAACAAATAAATGGACACAGATTAAATTCACCTAAACAAATGATACGAAATGCTCCTAGTCATTTCCTGAGAGGGAAAGGTACAAATATTAGCGCACGTGGGCGTGGTGGTGAGGGCACAGGAGTTGACGCCTCTCGTGGGCCTCACGCTGTTCCACCAGGGAGGTGAGGACAACTCCATATTTTGATGAATTCGATCCACGGAGTAAACCTCTGTAAGAAAAGCGGCAGAATATGCAACGTCCCAACCAGAAGAGGAAAATGAATTAACAAGGAAAAGAAACGTGATTAAAACTTCTTAGTGGAGAGTCGGCCGGAGGCACCTGTGTAACACCATCAGACCCTGCTCTGGGCTCTCCTGCGAGGCGTCCCCATACGGGTGGTGGGTGCGCCGCCGACCCAGCCTGGCTGAGGCTGCATGAGGGTGGTGGTGTACAGACCCTGCTGGGGGTGCCTGTCCCTCTGTCTTTTAAAAAAGTTTTATGTATTGGGACCAGCAGTTAGCGTAATGGCTATGTCCTGGACTCCCATGTAGTTGACTGCGGTTTGCGAACCGGACCCGGTGGCTTAAAACTCATGCTGGGCGCGTGTGCGTGCATGCCCAAGATCCCAAGAGGAGAATGGAGGAGAAGGGATTGCGGCGTGGCCATCCCCCCTGGAGGGTGATTTCTCACTTTCCGTCTCTCTGTATTTCTCTGTGTGTCTGGCGAGCGCACGCGCCCTATGGCAAAAACCTCTCCAAAAAAAAAAGTTTTATGTATTATTTTTCCCTTTTTAAAGAAAGAGTCATTTTTAATTTTATTGTTATTATTATTTTAAATTCACCAGTGAGAGAGAGAATGGGAAAGTGAGAGCAAGCCATCAGGTTTGGGACTGGAACTGCGGTTGGCCATGTAGGAGTTCAGCACCTTAACCACCACACCACTTGCTAGCCCCCTAAGTGTTATTTTTTCTATGAGAGGCGAAGAGACACAGAGAGACTAGCACTCCCAACAGGGTCTTCATCTTGTGATCCATTCCAGCAAGCAACAAGCACATGCATGCCTGATGCACAGGGGGCCTCAGGATGTGAACCCAGGA